TTGCTGTGACAAAACACTCTGACCACTACCAACGTGGGGAGGAAAGGGTTTATTCGGCTTACATCTCCCAGGTCGCAGTTCATCCGGGAGCCCAAGGTAGGACCTCAGGGCAGGAACCTGGAGGCAGGAGCTGGAGCGCAGGCCATGGAGGAACGCTGCTTACAGGCTTGCTCTCTTGGCCCCTGCTCAGCCTGCTTTCTTATGCAACACAGGCCCACCTGCCCAGGGGTGGCACCACCCACAGTGGGCTGGGCCCTCCCACATCACTCATCAAGAAGATGCCCCTCAGACATGGCCACAGGCCAGTCCAATAGAGGCAATTTCCCGATTGAGGCTCCCTCAAACCAGGTGTGTCAAGTTGACACTAAAGCTACCCAGCACAGAGTCTATGATGAAATAAGGTGGTGCAGGGCTTATGTAGGAGATCAAGAATGGATGGTAAAGATTATTTGAGGTGACACCTCCTCTGCCAGCCTCACAGCTGAGATTTGTGAAATGAGATGATGAATGTGAAAATTTTTTGACGACTGCTTGAAACATAATGCAAATACAAACTTGTTTTGTTATCTCCAAATTTTATAAAGAAGAAATCCCCCTGTTGGAAGCAAACATGTCACAGTTTTTTAAAGAAATGTGAAATCTTAAAAGAGGGTGTTCAGATAAGCACAATTCATCCCTGTGTTACGTGCTCCATCCTCTTCTGTCACAGCAATCTGAAGTACAGGCTTGCTTTTTTCTTTATCCCCCAAAGAATTTCCATTTTTGACAGTTTCCTTTAGTGTCAAGAGATTGTTTCAGTAAAAGAAACCAATCTTCAGATGGGTCTGACCTTGCATAATCCCAAAGATCCGGGGCAAAGGCTTTAATTCAGATGGAAGAGTTGGTCTTTTCCAGCCCATCTGGGAAGCTTAAGTGCATGTGGTTTGAGCGAATGTAATGACTTTTGCTTCAAATGCAAATATGAATGGAAGAAAGCGCAGTCGGAGGGGCTTATTGCTTCTAGTTCTTGTCTTCTCCCTTAAAGTGGCCATCCTTGCTCTCTCCAGAAACTCCTGGACACATCTAAGCTTGTGAAGTAGTATTTTCGCCTGAAAATTCCCTTCAGTTGGCAGTTAGTTTGTCCTTTTGATGCTTTTGAAAGGCAGTATAAACTTTACAGAATGATGAATCTGGAAAATGTAAAAAGGGTTTTTTTGTCATTGTTGTATTTACACAGATTATACGGGAACTAGACTGGGGGTCGTGGATGCCTTGGCCTCCCTTCCCACAGAATCTGTCCATACACAGCAGCTGGAAAGTGACCGCGCTGTAGACAGCCACATATTTACTACAGCGTTTCTATGTACCACCATAAAGCTTAAAACGTGGAGTAGCTTCTATTGTCCTTGGGTTAAGAAGGACATTTAATTCATTTAATACCAAGTACGCCAATGAAACAATATGTGTTTGGATTATTGATCAGCCATTAACAAGAGTGGTTGGAAATATGGCCAGTTACCGCAGTTCACATTCAGAACACTTCAGGTCAGTGAGGCTTTTGCTACTTGCAATCATGTGGATAAAACCTGAACTCGGTGTGGAATTATCATCAGCATGACTTGAACATAGCAAGTTATTGCTACTATTACAGGAAAGTTTGTTGCAGAGAGCAAACAAAAGCCACGCACTCTACCCCTCTAATGAATCTTTTCCCTTTTCTCTCTTCCTGATACACTTACAAACTTTTATACAACTGTAGCCACTGTGTAGTGAAGTTTAGTGCTCAGCAATTTTTTTCAGTATTCTTTGTATAGAAAACATGTTTCTCCATTCTCCCCTTAACATAAGGCTGTTCCACAGTTGCTTTAGAGGGTTTTCTATCGTTGAACAAGCAGCTCTCTCCCAAGATTTTGTTCAAATTAGGTAATACTGCAGTGAACATCTTTCCTGCAATTTAATTTTAACTTTCTGTGGGAAGTTTGTTTGTTAGAATAAATGGAAAGGAATGCTGTTACTGTGCCAAATTTCAAGGAATTTCTGGAAGGTAATGGGTTGGAGGAGCCAGTTGGAGGCACAAAACAAGGTGATTTAGGGTCTCCCGTAGAAGACGCGGCAGTGCTCATTGGCTCTTCCGTAGCGTGCCTGAGGCCGGGCTTGAGGGCCTGAAACCTGCAGCTCCCAGGAATGAGCTTCCGGAACCGTTTCCCCACCGTCAACCCACAGTTTCAAGTCTAACCGGAAATGGACTATATACCCCTTCACTGAAAGTTGGGGTGTCTGCCACGGGATGTCAGGGTCGGCCGTGGACAGAGAAAGTGGATCCAGATCTGGCTCCCACAACTGGAGAGAATGGATGGAACCCGGAAACTCGGGCACCGGGTGCACCCATGATGCAGGAGTCAGGGTATCTCAGCCTCCGCTCCGAGCCTGCAACGTTTGCAGAAGCTGGTGTCTCTTCACTTAGCACCTGCCTGCAGTGTGTGTGGCCAGACTGTCCACCAAAGAGGATCTGTGAACCTGGAGGAAACAGGTGTGCCGTCATCAAAGCTGTCAGAGAAGGGCTTATCATTTATAGCTTTTCATTTTAACTGACAGGTTTTTACTGGTTTTGTCAAACTTCAGTTAAAAACATGGTGAACTTTGCCTACGTGGAAAGTCTTTTCAAAGAATGCGAATACGACAGAGGAAGGACAAGGGAACGACAAGGCAGGCCAGTTAAAAGAGCCCCAACTTTGCTAAAACTTTGTTCTGAGACTCAGGCTTTGAGTGCATTGGGAATGCGGGCCCTGTGATAACAACTTGGGCCCATGGGCGTGATGCAGTTACCACTCACCTGTTCAGTAGTTACCATCTGGGAATGCTTTCCCACCCACTTGGCTCTGGGTCTGTGTTCGACCTCCTGCAGATTTTTATTCCTCTGCTTATAGCTGTATGTTGACTATTCCCACCATCCCTTAACCTCCAACGCCCCCCCCCAACTAAATGGTAGAGAACATACACAGATTTTTTTCTTAGTTATCAGTGTATTTACACACATACACACACCAAATGTTAATCTGTACTGTGTTGTTCTCAAACATATGTGGAATCTCAGCAGTATTGCTAGGTAATCTGGTGGGTCCTCTTAGGTCTCTAGTTCTCTGTCCTATCAATTTTGCAGTCAAGAAAACACTACAGTAAGTAACCCAAATCAAAACCCACCATAATGGAACCTAGAAATAACCACAGTGTTAACAGTGTATTTCCAATCACACTCCAGTGTTTTTTCACGTCAGTAAAAATTTCCCATGCTCTGTTAGTGCTTTTAGACCCATGTGAAGGTTTTAAGTGTGTCAAGGGACTGTTTAGAAGATCAATCTTCTTGCTCTGGGCAGAATAAAGGAATAAAAAAAGTGATGAATGAGGAAAGCCAGTAAAAAGGATTTACAGTGTGTCCTGGAAACAAGATGCAACTCAGTGTTTTCTCTGGAAATCACTTTGCCTTTGTGGCTAATCCATAAAAGTGTAAATCATTACCTGGAGGCTGGCTAGCCCTCATCTGTGGATAAAGGCAAAACACTGCAGGGGCCTGGAGAAAGGGAAGGGAACTGGAATTAGGAGCAAGAGATTGAGTATTAGGAACTGGCGTAGCCAATGGTAAGGAAAGCTTAGCATTGTACGAATTACAGTATTTCACGTCTAACTGTCTCATTAAATTCTCGCAACAACCATAATAGCCTTGTATTCATTCTGTATGTGGAGAAAATCAGACTCATTTATCAGATTCATTTAGACAATGAATACATTCCAGTTGATTGCTGGATATCACACAGCAAGCAGGAATTAAAGCGAAACTGGGACTCGGGGACATTTCCCGATCTCTCACCCTCCCCACCCTCCCCCCCTCCCCTTTCCCCACTTTGGGGAGAACATGAAAGTCTCATTGCAATATTCTTCAAAATGTCAGAGGCCTGGGACGGCTGTCAGTGGACAGGTTAGAGGAAATGGAACTGTGAAGGGATGGGTTGCTCTTTGCTGGCCTTGGGCCAATCTGCGCCACACTGCCGGGCTTACTTGCAGGACCTTGTTGGGCTCTGCTCATTCTGTAGGCTTGCTGTACACATCACCCACCCATGGCGTCGTCATGCCCTAGTGCTGTGTTCGGGGCAGAAGCGAGTGACCTCTTGTCATCACAGTTGGTCATGAATCATTTCCTTTGCTTGCCTATTATCTTGAGGACAGTTAAATGCATGTGAGTGACTCAGTGTTCTAACCTTTCTTCGTTACCACTTTTATTTATTCTAAAATGATGCTGGTTTGTGGAGTATGGGCAGTTCAGTCTATTGGAAACTAAATCCCATGTAACTGACTGTAGCAGACGAAAGTGTTTTCCACTGAGAATACCTTGCATTTGTGGCCACTGGCTGCATTTCAAAGCATTTTTCTCTTCCATTCTCAAATGGCTACTCTTCTACAGTATCTCCTTCTGTTTTCCCTCCCCAGAGTCGAAAGCATGCAAGCAAAGTCCGACTGTATTACATGCTCCACCCCAGGGATGGTGGGTGTCCTGCCAAGAGGCTCCGGGCAGAAAATGTGAGTACCACTTGAAATCCTTGGCGACTGGCTGCCGACTCCAAAGGTGCGGGAGTTGTAAGCATCCAGAGGAGTGGCAAAGCTAAGTCCACAGGAATAGTTCTCATTACAGACAGCATCACACAATGGCCAAGTCTTGTTTGTTTGCTTGTGTTTTCTTTCCTGCCAGACCTTGCCAGCACTGCATGGCTTTTGATGATGCGGCACTGAAACTGTTCAGAGAAAGAATGTGTAGAGGTTCCACAGATCCAGGCAGGGTGACAGGACACAAGGGCCACCAGAGAACAAGCGTTGTGAAGACGAGACCTAAGAGGCAAACCTGTCAGGAGCCCTATATGCTTTGTTCTCTAAATATCTGATTTCTCTGCTGCTGCGTAGAAAGAAATGTTGGTTTGTTAATTAATAATAAAGACCATAAGATCTTCTGCAAATAAACATATTCAGGCTCTTTGATACCGTCCCCCCCCCCCAGGAAGCATTTATTTGAGAGGACAAATGACATTTGGGAGGTTGCTTTAAAGTCAGAGCACAGGGTTTATTTCGGCCCCTTCCTCTCTGCAAGGAATGCTCTTAATGGTGGAATATTCACATCCTGCTGATGACCATGATGGCAACAGCAAGCATGAAACACAAATTCCTTACCCTTGGGGTCGAAGGGGTCTTCCAGCACAGAATTAGCACCTCCATGCTATCAGTTTGTCGATGTCTATTCTCTTTCTTAATTAAAAGTTAAGAAGTGATCAGTCTGGCGTGGTGGCGCACGCCTTTAATCCCAGCACTTGGGAGGCAGAGGCAGGCTGATCTCTGTGAGTTCAAGGCCAGCCTGGTCTACATAGTGAGTTCCAGGATAGCTGGGGCTACAGGGAGAACCTGTCTCAAAAAGACAAAAAAAAAAAAATTA